GATAAGGGCAACTTCATTTAATAGGCGAGTTTCTTTTGTTTCTTTTGTTTTCATTGTTTCATTGTATATGTTTTGAAATTTCCTTTGGTTAACTGTTGCAACTTCCAAAACAACAGACGCGCTCTGACCTGTACCGACGATCGCGGCGATCGCTATGAAAATGAAACGCTGCTTAAGAAAAACGAAGTCCATCCAACAGCTCGTTCTCTCACGGCAGAGAAGTATTGGCACAATTCGACCTTGTTCACTCTGACAGACCCTTCACTATGTCCAACGAATGCTGCACGGAAACAGCATCTGTAAAATGCTGCTGATAGGATATGGGTAACATGACTTTTCCATTTCTTACAGCTTTTGGGCTTTCGTAGAACATAGGGAAATTTTACGTTGACGTCAATAGCACGCAGCATATTTCATGGAGCATTTCGTTTACAATAATTTCTCTTTACTTCTGCCTTCAGTGGCAGAACAGCTAGCGTAGAGAGGTCGAATAAGGAAGGCTCGCGAGCCTTTCGCGCGCTATTTTTTAGATTATGTTGGCACATGTCAGTGACAAGAATTATCATCTCCCAGCATGAATCTTAATCTAAATGCTAATGCTCTCTTCTCCACTGTTATTTTCAACAGTCAGCTGTCAAGGGCCTTATGTTGCTTGTTTAAAGCCATTTTGTGCAATTTTGGTTTGCCGTCGCTCTAAAAATACCTCTACTTCCGGTTTCTGTCGGAAACCTAACTATGCATCATGTCCACTGCCTTTGAAGGACGGCCCATATTCAGAAACGGTGAGTTCTGTGGCCCAAATAAATACTAACGACCGAATGGTAGCTACCACTAAAATGAAGAAAAAAGGAAAAGAAATCCGCCGAAGATCCATATAGAACACTATGCTGAACCGCGTTCGCACCACAAGGCGAAAATTGCGTGCTTGGACTTTGTTGGAAGAGAGAGAGAGGAGAGAGTGAAGAGCAATCGCACCATCAGGTAGCAATGAAAAATAAAAGTTGGGCGTTGTCATGGCCGAGCCGTGGTCTCCTCGGCGAGCAGGTCTCGCTTTCGTGTCGTAGTTTTGAGCTGCGAAAGTAGTACAATCATGGTCCTTGAAAGCGGATCATGACCGGATCCGCTTTTACTTCGTACTGATCAAGCCGTCTAACGGGGCTTGGCCTGGAGCACAACCATTGTCACCAGTTGTAGCGGGCTCAAGATGGCATCATTGGTGGCAAAAGAACACCCTAGTTTTTCCAAAGCGCGCTGCACCAATTGCCCTGTCATTTGCAGTGATCATCACTGTGCATCCTTCATGCTTGTGAACAGGACTACCATGTCCAAAGAAGGCGTCTGCTCATGTGAACACGCTTTGCGTCTTCCGGAGGGAGAGCTTCACCGCTTGGGCTCAGTTGGGTCTTTACGACTAGGAGTCGCCTCTGCTCGTACGCCAACACTGGATTCCCACCAAAATTCCCACCCTTACTGATAGCTGGAGAGATTTACGCAGCAGTTTTCTTCCCATGTGAAAAAAACAGAATTCTAGGCAGTTGCGATTCATTTGCCTCCATTCATAGTTCCATGAAAGTCCGAGGCCTATATAAGAGAGCATGACGGATCATAGTGGACCAGTAGAGATGGTCACCACAATCAATAAGCTTGTGTCTTATTTCTCTAAATTCGTTTATTGATGAAGTATCATACCAGTCAGCCTGAAAAATAGAAAAAAAAACTGAAGCCTGCACTTCATAGTTCACAACGTGATTATACCACCTGTATGCTGAATTCTGCGTTCATTTTGATGACGTTGCAATCACTTGGGGCGTTTTCAGCAGGGTCAGCATGAGGCCGCCCCTCACCTGCCTTGCTTTACCTATGGTAATCGGCTAGTGATCTATTTCACATGGAAACAACCAGTGGCAGCGCAGGAGAGTTCATCCAGTCCCTCTTGGAACAGAATGAACTCACCTGCGCCACCACTCTTCGGTTCCACTCGACTGATTGCAGCGATATCAACTGTAAAATTCACTATCTCATTGAGGCTCGAATCTGCACCTCCCTGAGCAAAGAGCTTTCCGTTGCATGGTGGAGGCTGGCTAACTTCAGCTGCTATCTGCCGAAAAGCTGAGCTCAATCTTGAGCTCATGCTTCATTGCCAATCTTGGCTAAACGTTTAGATGCAGGATTCTTTTTCTTGAACTAGAAAACTTCTGCATATGCATGAGAACTGTACAGTTTAATAGTCTTATGATTTATTATTATAATTATTATTTGATAAGCCAATTATTTTTCCATATGCACATTGAGCGGAGTCATAACCAGGGTTCAGACTTTGCAGTTGTTCCTGGTACGAATCGAGTATGAAGCGAACACAACTGAAGCGGCAATCAGCGAGACGGCCGCTGCTGCGAAAATCGAAAAACCGAACGGCGACAGACAGATACCATTCGGTACGCCCATAAGGGGGCCGATCATCCTTAGCTCGGAAGGAAGGTCATCATTCTGAAACAAAAGTGCTTTTGCCGGGACACTGACTCTTCCAGAGCTTCTTTTTCAGTGATAATCGAGTATGAGTAAAATACCTTATCGTGGATATCCAGAGCGCTAAGCTCGGCGCGGACGTCCAAGGTGCTCTCAAGTCCAGCTTCTCTCTTTCTCAGTAATCGTAGCTGTGCTGCAGCCTGAGTAGCTGCTGCTGCTGTTGCTGGTGGTGGAGCTTGTGGTGCAGCGGCGCCGCCTCCAGTCTGAATTAGTCGGTTCTGCCATGGTATTTCTCACGAGCAAAGTATTTTAAATCATAGCACATCGTCACGACGTGAAAACTTTTTCGCTAATTTATCCCTCCTCGCTCTTTCTCCTACATGATGACCCCCCTAATGCTATGCGACCTATCCCAGAGACCAAAAGTTCGACAAAGCTGACGGAACCTGTCCGAGAACTGCACAAACGTTTTCATGTGCCAAAGAAATATGGGTGACAAACCAAGGCACTCGAAAATAGTTACGGATCTACGTCCTTCTGCCATGACTCCTTAAAGTTGCAGTTCATACTTTGCGGCCAGCGCTACTCACCGTACACCCGCTGCCAGTACGTCTCGAGTCAAGAATTATGGTATCATCTAGCGTCTGCCCAGCAAATTTCACCATTCCCCACCAGCTCTGATAGTAAGAAATTTGGTAAGTAGAGTAAAGAAACAGCTCGTTAAACGTTGTAAAATTGCGGCGGCGTGCAACCCACCCACACTGTACAATCACAGAATTGTGCCACTTTGAGTATTGTCGTCCTAGTTGTACGGTGCGTTGCCACAACAACGCAATTTTACAAGACTAAACTGTTTGCCTACTCTCCTACCTCCCCATACTCTCTACTCCTGGCCGCTGGTGAACATTAGTGCACGCTGGTAGACGCTAGATCGATATCTACACTTCCCTAGTCACTACCTGCGTACGCTGTAACACGCTGCCGCGCTCCGCAAACTATGAACGCAGCCTAAGACTCAAAATGATAGAATATTCAATCTTCAAGCGATGGCCTGCGAAGGTTGCTTCGTTTTTATCAGCGCAAATTTATAGGAAATTATTGAATTTGCCAATTCAACTAATTCGGATACGCTCTTAGCCGCCACTTCGAAATTTTGAGAGTAGAAGACAAAATACACTAATGCCTAGATGATACGATGTTATAGTCTCTATGAAGATTTCCACACCAAAATCAGCCACAAACATGGCGAGACTCTGTCAAATTTGATATTCCACCGTAGTAATGCAGGTGCGGTCCACCACTCCGCCTTCCTCATTTAGGCATCTTATCATTGCCATAATAGCTTCGAAACAAGTGAAGACGAAAGAGCGTGCAACTCCTGTTGATAACTACCGGTCGAATGTATAGTTCCTGTAAATGTATATAAACAAAGCGACTTTTTTCTGCCGGAACCTAACTATGAATCATGCCACTGCCTTTGAGGCACGCCCAGCTCAGAACGGATTCTGTGCGTCCATAAATACTAACTTGCTACCATCCGGAGCTCCAAGCAACTTGAAGGACTACCCAATTTCTGTAGATTGACGAGGTATCTACAAAATTCATCCTTCCTAGGGCATCCCGTGGTCATATCATACTTGTTAACCTAGTTCAGCGGTAACCAAGTGGAATACCGGTGGTGAGAAAGCCTTGGGCCTTGCCATCACACTTTATTTCTTGTTTACCTCCTTTTTCACTTACCTTCTTCCCTTCTTTCCAGACGTGGGAAAGCGAAAAACGAAGGAAGTTCCCACTTCTCCTAGGCATCAACTTAGGGCACTATCTAGGCAGCAATACCTTAGACTGTGAAGCATATAATCAAAGGGTGAGCATAATTACGGGCAGTGGCTACGTGAAGAAAAGTCGGACAGCTAAGTACCAGAAGAGTTCTTCAATTTTTTTGACAGGTCTCGTTATTAACATGGGGTCTCGCTTTATCATGGAGAGGGTGCACCGAAGCTCATCACCACTTTTCCCGAACATCTTCCTTGAGTTTCTGGAGCTGAGTGGCGTGAACGACACGTGACCGTGGTCCTTGCAGACCAGATCGTGCTTACAGCATACCCTTCAATCGAGAGCAACGAAACCATGCTTGTCTGCGGCTCGTTCATGCACCAATTTGGCTATGCACAGACGACTTCCGTGTCGAGTTGTCACGCAGCGCTAGAGAATTGAAACCAGATACCTAACTGTCATATCTCAGTAACGTGTCTTCCGAATTTCACAGGCTAAAAAGCGGAGACTGATGAGCGAATATCTGATGTTGTAATTGCAGAGAGGAATCCTCCATGATCACTTTTCTATTAGCTAAGCCTGAATGAAGTAGACGCACCGGTGCAACCGTTGATCCTTTTTCGAAGCTTAAATTAGTAAAAACCGATCCACATTATGTGATGTCCCAGTATTGTCTCTCGAATCTTTCAAAACATTATCTCCTTTCAGAAAGAGACGAAATCAAAGTGACTCAGTGACTGGAGGAGAAAAAGCTGAAGGTGCTAAAAATATAGCCCCCTCTCCCAACACGCTGCTGATATTGTGAAATGCCGTCGTGACCCTACAGACCTTCCTGTGGCTCCAATATAAAAACTTTCAAATTTCAGCATTACCTTAGTTGCACCAAATCCTTGAGGCTCTGGACACTGTGGACGTGGGCACTCAGTATTCGGCTCCTTGATTGTGATGCTAATTTGACATTGGTAGAACAGCTGTGACCTGAACGACACCGCTGCCATGAGTGCCAGCGACATATACAGAGAGTTCCATTTAATTTACTCTCTAACGTTACCTATCGGCATATTTATAGACGTGAGCCTCCTGGCCAGCCATCAGATCCGTCGGATATTCCAAATTATTGAGCAGGAATTTATCGAGAGCGCAGCCTTCTTCATTAAGGATTTGTACAGTGTCACCGTTGCCATCATCGACGGTACAAGAGTGAACAACGGCGCAGAAGGTGTCGGTCGTCTCCGAATCGCAAGTCCATTTGTGGTACACCTGAAGTAACTTTTTGTTGGAAGGGAAAAAGAGAAAGTATGGGAAAGCTCTCACCTGCTGGCCAATGGTGGCAAAGTGAATAGGAGCTCCAGTTGGTCCTCCCTCAAGAATCTCGTATTTACAGACAGGCATTGGTACAACCTGGGTCTGGAAGGCGGTGGTCAGCTCAGAGACCTCAATCTGAGTGCTGACGGTCTTGTCAGCCTCCATGTAGAAGCACTGGATTTTATAGGCTCGATCGACTTTGGTAACAAATTGAGGATGGAATGAGATCACTACGGTGGTCGAGACGAAAACTCCACGAGGGTTAAGCGACCTGGAAAATTTGCTGTCGATGGAGGACTTCAAGACACATTCCACCATAAATTAATGGTCAAACAAATGGGCGGAGACTCATGACTTCATCCTCTCCACTAACGCGCCCACGTATACGAAATGGTTGCACACCGGTGAGGAAGGCACAGTGGTAATGAGTCTCTGTACTTTTCTCCGCCCATCCTTTAATAGCGGATAGCGCCCTCGAGAAGGGTGGCAAAAACGTACCTAGTCCTAGCAGTATTGCACTGGTCGAAGGGCAATTCGATGCCAGCCACTTGTCGGCCACCTTCGTCGTTTCTGCAGGCGGCTTGATCATATAAACCTTTCACATATACATGACCCTCGAACGCATTCCTCGTGTTGAAGTTCACTGTGATCGAAGAGGGCCCGCATTCGATCTCAGGCTCTCCTTCAACACCGTTGTCGACCGGAATCGCCCGGACGACCCCAAGCATGGCCATGCACACAAAGAAGATGAGCATCTGAAATGTTCAGCGTGTTCATTAAATGGCTTCAATAATTCCAAAAGTTTGACAAGAATTACAGAAAACGTTGCTCCAAAGAAAGGGGATAAAGAACAATTAACATTATTAAGACATAAGGAAAGTGAAAACCCTGGAGAGGCCATAAAAGGGTCCGTGGTTTTGATGGCAAGACCATTGTTTCCTA